TGTACCTTTCTTTTTGGTTTTGACCTCCACAGGGTGTGTGTGCTCACCAGAAAGAGAAAGAAAGACAGTGAGAGAGAAAGTGAGAATCACTCCCCAAGGGAGATGGCTATGGCACAATCGCTTCTCCTCCATTCTCCTCCTGGGATCCTGGGCTTGTATGCACAGGTGCCCACCATGACTTTGGAGCTGCCAGGTCCAGGACTTGACCTGTGGTCGGCCACAGGGGAGTCCGGTGCCTTAAACACCATGCTACCCGTTGGCCCTATTCCTGTATCTTTCTGTCTCTCTATGTTCTGTTCTCATCTATGGCATAATGCTTGGCCCATGATATAATATATACTCGAATATTTGATGAATTTAAAACAATTTGCTCCCACAATTTTGATAAATACTTGACTAAAGCCAAGAACTTCATTTAATCAAACCTCTTTGGGCCAGCCAGTGGTATGGTGGTTTAGGACAGCTGAATCCCACATGATGCTGTTGAAGTCCCAGACCCAGCAGACTGAAAGACATTCTGGGTGCATGTGTATGCATGCCAAAAACTCCAAAAGACTACACAGAGAAGGGATTATGGCAGGACCATCCCCTAGAGGGGGTTCTTTCTCACTTCTCTTTCTCTCTATGTCTCTCTCCAGTGAGCACACGGGCCTTCTACAAATTAAAAAATATATAATTAAATTTTTAAAAAGCTCTTTCTGCTTAACTGACCACACCAAGGCTGACTAAAGCTGTGACTTCACTATTCCAGGGAGGACATAGCAGGAACTTAACATGCACTTGTAGTACGAGCTTTCAAGAGAAGGACATGCTTTCTTCCCAACGTGACTGTGTCTCGCACGAACCTGGAAGGATCCGGGGTCCCTGTGAAGTAGTGAATGCATGGTGAGCTTCTGTTCTGAGGCAGGACAGACACCACACTGGCTGTCGTGAGAAAAGATTCAGAGTCTATGCAGACTCCGCTGGCTTTGTCTCGTAAGACGTTCATCATAGTCTGCACGGTGATGCTTTCTGTAAGATAGAGATGGAGAAGGGAATGTAACTCTGGTCAGCACGAAATCCATTCCCTCCTTTCTCTTTCACGTAATAAAACCCCTAAGATTATAGCTGGGAACATAGCTGCTCAACTACAGAGTATAGTTCCCAGCTTCCCTCATGACCAGGGGTGGCCATGTGATAAATTCTGACCAATAGGAGGTGAGCAGAAATACACAACTGTACATGTACAGCTTCTGGTCAGCTTCCATAGGAAGGAATGCTTGCCCTTCACGTCCCTTTCCTCTCTTCCTATTAGCTGGGCGATGCCAACTGGTGGGCCACAAATGAAAGTCATGCATTGAGGCAGAGCAGTCCACCAGCCTGGATTGGTCACACACACACTATGGGAGAAAAATAAACTTCCATTTTTCTTTAAGCCACATTAATTTGGAGTCTTTCTGTTACAGTATTTACCTCTACTTCAACCAGTGCAATACCTCAGTAGACACCCTTAAGAAAGTATGTGTGGGGCCAATAGGTGGCGTGGTGGTTAAGGCACTGGACTCCCACGTGGCTGACCATAGTTCAAGTCCCAGATATTGTGGCTTGAAAATCATTCCAGACTAATGTGCATGCCTGCCCAAAATCCCAAGAGGAAAATGGAAGAGAAGGGATTGTCATGTGGCCAACTCCCCTGGAGGGTGATTTCTCACTTTCCCTCTCTCTCCAGCAAGCACATATGCCCTACAACAATAAATAAATGAAAATGAAAAAGAAAGTATGTGTAACCTAGACATAGTCCACCAAGCTGTCTTTCATGCTGGTGAAGGTGAGGCTGTCATTGGAGAATGACCTCTCTTCAATGGGAAATATACATATGAGAGGCACGTGGAATATTCAGAGCCATCAGGACTACTGACTCTGACTTCAGGTAAATGAATAAACAAATGCTTGGCTACATTGGATCCCATTTCTACATCTCCTCTGGTTATAATTCATGAAAATTCTATTTCAGTCTGTATGCGTAAAGATAGAGTCAAACAAATCATAATGTGGAGATGTGCTAACACACCCCATGGCCCCTCCATAAACCTCTATTTACAGTATCCCCATCTAAAAATATTAACAGTAAGGGCTTGGTTTCTTCATCTATCTAGTATTCAAATTTCATCATTGTCCCATAAAGACACTGATTGATTTGAATCAGAATCCTGCAGGTTGTTAATGTCTCTTAAATCTTTTTTAGTTTCTGCCTCTTATTTTTCTTCCTTGCATCTTATCTGCCAAAAAATAAATAAATAAACCAAAAACCCAAAACAACAAACAAACAAACAAACAAAAACTGGTTCTTTTTCTTTTTTCCATGGACTTTGCAGACAGCTTCCCCATGATGTTATTTAATATGTTCCTCTGTCTTCTGTATTTCCTATAAACCAGTAGGTAGATCAAGAGATTTCATCAGACTTAGGGTTGATGTTTTGGCAAAGACTATTTAATAACTTTTATTACGCTTTTTGTTGTTGTTGTTGTTGTTGTTTGGGATTTTGGGGGTTTTTGAGATAGGGTCTCACTATATTGTCCAGCCTGACTTCACATACACAGCCCTCCTGCCTCAGCCTCCCAGTGGCTGGGACTGCAGGTGCACACCACCACACCTGGCTTTATTTACCTTTTTTTTTTTTTTCATTTAAAAATCGCTCATTATTTTTTGAAGAGCCTATTTTAAAATGAATTACTTTCTTATATTCTTACCCAGATTATATTACTTACATTTTACAATAAAAAAAAAAATCTAACATGTTCCTCTAGATTAACAATCAGGAAGCTTTTCCTTAAAGAACGAGCAGGCATTTGGGGTTTATGGGTCATAGAGTCTCCATCACAACATCCGTGTTGCAATTGCTCAACTCTGCCACCACAGCAAGAAAACAACCTTCAACACTACAAAAATAATGGGTGTGGTTGAGTTCCAATAAAGTTTTATTTCTAAAACAAGCAGCTGCCAACAGGCTTGCTGACCCCTGTCTTAAATGACCGAAAGTGTGACTTGCAAGATACCTATATCCTGAGGAAATATAAAATGTACTGTAGATACAGGGGGAAAATAAGTCAGATATGTAACTACTGAAGTGTACGTGTCACAAGAGACAACACAACGGCATCGATGTTTAGTGGAGAAATAACATCAGTAGGAGCAGGCAAATGTCATGGGTAAGGACGCCCCCACCTAAATATAAAGATAAGCTGTCTCCTTGCCTACATCTCAGGGACTTTAAGCACAAGTCAGTCTTCACATACAAGGTCTAGTCTCTGTTCCTCCTTTTCATTCACCCTCCTAAGTTCATACAGGTTCTCTGAAATATTGAGTTGTCGGGAAAGTCATGGATGCATTTTTGCAAAGAAAAACAGAGAAATACATTTTTTGAAGAGCCTATTTTAAAATGAATTACTTTCTTATATTCTTACCCAGAATATATTACTTACATTTTACAATAAAAAAAAAAATCTAACATGTTCCTCTAGATTAACAATCAGGAAGCTTTTCCTTAAAGAACGAGCAGGCATTTGGGGTTTATGGGTCATAGAGTCTCCATCACAACATCCGTGTTGCAATTGCTCAACTCTGCCACCACAGCAAGAAAACAACCTTCAACACTACAAAAATAATGGGTGTGGTTGAGTTCCAATAAAGTTTTATTTCTAAAACAAGCAGCTGCCAACAGGCTTGCTGACCCCTGTCTTAAATGACCGAAAGTGTGACTTGCAAGATACCTATATCCTGAGGAAATATAAAATGTACTGTAGATACAGGGGGAAAATAAGTCAGATATGTAACTACTGAAGTGTACGTGTCACAAGAGACAACACAACGGCATCGATGTTTAGTGGAGAAATAACATCAGTAGGAGCAGGCAAATGTCATGGGTAAGGACGCCCCCACCTAAATATAAAGATAAGCTGTCTCCTTGCCTACATCTCAGGGACTTTAAGCACAAGTCAGTCTTCACATACAAGGTCTAGTCTCTGTTCCTCCTTTTCATTCACCCTCCTAAGTTCATACAGGTTCTCTGAAATATTGAGTTGTCGGGAAAGTCATGGATGCATTTTTGCAAAGAAAAACAGAGAAATACGTCATGACTTTTCTGACAACCAAACAGCTGCAAGACACAGTATGAGCCGGAGAGCTGTGTGGGACAGACCAACTCACCTTCTTGGTTGTCTAGGCTGTCTTTGCCTGCACAGCAGTCTAGATGATCATCGGCTGGGGAGAAGATCTCAGAGAAATTGAACTCGTCCTCTCCCGTCCACCAGCCTTGACTCTGAGCGTAGCTCCTGAGCTCAGGGTGCTCTGCGTCCATCTTGGTGGTGAGCGAAAGCTGGTTGCAGACACACTTCACGCCCTCTGCAGGGAGTGCAAAGGCCAGTGAGTGGGAGATACAAAGATTTACTCAAGAAGGGGACATTCCTGGGGAATCTTTCCTCAAGTCCTGATTTAACTACAGGGAGGAATCGATTCGATTTATGAAAAGAAAAATAGACAACCCTTGGTCTTTGTAGGAGACTTTCTAAAAGGTTTACCCATCTTGACTGGGCATTATAATGAGCAGCAGGTTTTTTTATGGTTTTTTTTTTTTTTTTTTTTTTGCTCATTTAAAATTATAAGTCAAAAACAAATACATGAAGCCCTTCATTCTGGCTAACTAAAGCCCAAGTGTGCACTACTTACAAGAAAGCATTGGGTTGTCGCAAAAGCCATGACTAGTTTTTTCTGGTTTTCTAAGCAAAAATGCGTCAGGACCAGCAGTTAGCATAATGGCTATGTCACTGGACTCCCATGTAGTCAACTGTGGTTCGAGTCTCGGACCTGGCAGCTTAAATTCACGCCAGGCATGTGTACATGCGTGCCTAAGATCCCGAGAGGAGAATGGAGGAGAAGGGATTGTGGTGTGGCCATCCCCCCTGGGGGGTGATTTCTCGCTTTCTGTCTCTCTCTCTCTCTGTGTGTCTTTCTGGGGAGGGCATGTGCCCTATAGCAAAAATCTCTCCAAAAAAAGAAAAAAAAATGCATCATGACTTTTCCAATAACCCATTGACAGGTTCTTTGGAAGAGGTCCTGGGCTGACAAGAGAAATCTGTAGGCAATCCCTCACAGAGGGGCTGTTGTTCTACAGAGCATTCCCTCAGCCTCTATGGAGACTGTTCCTCCCAAGCCTGATTGTTTTTCACCTAGAAAGACTCTTTACACCACCCCCACCCAAACACATGTGGTTTTTAAAAAATACAAATCAGATACTTGTTTATTTAACTTTTGTCAACATTTAGACAGTGGCAATGATGAGTTGTTTTTAAATAATGGAATATACTCACAAATATATGCATGTGTGTGTGTGTGTGTGAGTGTGTGTGTGTGTGTGTGTGTGAAAATCTGTGTGAATTTTTTTTCCTCATAAAAATCTCACTGTGGCTAAATAAATCTAGAATTAGAAATGCCTGTGTTCTGAGCACCCCCTCTCTTGATGAATGGGGGTCTCAGCCAGAAGTTGTCCTGTCAGGTGACAGGCTTGCTGCATCTTCTCCAAAGCCTGAGCAGCGAATACACAGAGGATGACTTGGCCACCAAGCGTTAACAGAGTGCAGACGTTAAGAAATCACTGCTAGCAGCGCTAGCTCAAAAGGGCCATTCCTGTTGCTTCCAGGAGGCAGGATGATCTTCTAGGTTATTAGAGAACAAGTGAGAGAGAGAACCTAAACGACAAGCTGCAATAAAGTCATTACTGCCTAAAGGCACCACCGGCGCTGGACCAAGTACTCTCAGCATGGTTTGCTTTACTGAATTATGCTTCCAAAATAACCACTTCTGGCTGATGGGCACTAGTGCTTTGCCATTCATCTTTTCAGAGGCCACTATAAAAAGTAACATCAAAATCCTACAAGAAGAATGGAGGAGAAAGGATCGTAGCGTGGCCATCCCCCCAGGGGATGATTTCTCACTCTCTGCCTCTGTCTCTCCAGTGAGCACATGTACCCTATTGCAAAAATCTCTTTCAAGAAAAAAAAAAAAGTAAAATCAGAAATAATTAGAAATAAAAGTTCATTTTGGCCTGAACAAGTGATTTTTGACATCATGCATGCTAAAATAAATAAGTAAATGCACCTGTTGGGCCACATAGTTAGTGCAACTGCATTTCTATGGGTAGGTTCTCATTCACATCTCGGGAACCTCCCTGTGCACACCAGGTATGGCCTGTGATCCAGTCTGGCTGAGGCTGGTGGTGGATCACATGGAGACGCTGTAGGTGGTGTCTTTGTCTGTCTGTCTGTCTCTCTCTCCCCTTCTCTTTCATGGAAGAAATAAACTAAACATACAAACACCTCTTGAACAACTCCACAGATGTTGCATTCCTAGAGGACAAACACCTCTTGAACAACTCCACAGATGTTACTTTCCTAGATAGCTGATTTACAGTAGATAACTGCTTTGAAGAACTTTTGCACTTGGGGGAGAGAGAGTACATTAAATCCTACTACAATCAATCATTCAGCTACTGGGATCAGAGGACAAGAAATCAATGAGTACAAAATGAGTACAAGAAATGGCCAGGTTTGTTTTTTAATATTTAGAGAAAGAAAACATCCACATTGTGAAGATAGATCTTTAAGCTATATTTTGAAGGGAAGCTCAGCTTCTGAAACACAGTTGTAGACCAAAAAGCTTTAGGTTCTAGATAAAAGTGATCGCTTTTAAGCATAGACCACTAGCCCCTCTTCATAGAATGATTTAATAGTAAGATTCCTTCTTAGATCTTTTTTATAAAAGAGTTTTAAGGTCTACACTGCAGGGAAGTTGGGGACTTGATGGGCTATACTGGCTGCCTTAATTCTATACACACTGTAGGAGTTGGGAAAGCAGGTACATGCCCAGGTGGGTATATATGCTGGGTACATGAGGGTGACTGCTGATAGACACTGCCAGTTCATTCTGCATTCTTGTGGGAAACAGAAGAATACACTTCCTCCTCTAGGCAGACACAGCCTTCCCATGTCTCACCCATGGAATCACAGTCTACATTTCACTGTCGCAGAGGGGTAACTGTGTACAGGGTACAATGTACCTGTCATCCAGAATAGACCTGATTGCTAGACTAACTAGATGTGCAGAAAACAACAGACTTGGTTACCAACTACTAGAGTAGATCTTCTGCTTCTGACTCAGGTCAATTGGTTCTAAACACCCTTAAAGCAGAAATGCGAAACAAGTTTCACCCACAGTTTCATTCCTGATTAATTGGACAAGACTTCCCACTAAATTTCATTGAGAAAAATTCAAAGGCCAAGTGTAGGTTCCATGAGAGAAGAATGCTGTGATCTACTAGCAATGTCTGCCATGAGCATAGGAGGGGAGAATGGTGGCTCACATGCCAGGTATTTGTCATCCAGTCCTAAATACATGTAAGTGGAGCTTTACTGGTCAATTCTCTCTTAGAAGTACCTAGTCCTCTTGGAAGTCATTTAATCCATTCTGGAATCCTATCCTGTCCAGAATATGAGGGTGCTAGGGTGATGATGCAAGACCACCCCTCCCACCTCTACGTTTTCTTTCTCCAGACCTGTCTTGGAACCAAGATGCTACAGGGGCTACCGATCAGCCATTTTATGGGCACTAAATCCTCCTGGTGGATTCCCTGGTCTCTGCTCTTCTAGATATATTGTCTCACAGAGAAATGGTCTATTGTCCCAGAGCAAAATTCAGTGCTCATCACTCAGACCTAAACTTCTATTTTAGAGAAATATTCCAAGCACAAAGAGCTACAGGGTTGAGAGTAACAAGGGATACTCCCTGCTGAAGGGATATGTCCACCTATTCTGAACAAATAATCACTATTCCCTTGGTCAAAAGAGTAACAGTTTGAGTCATGAATGAATGAGAGTCAAAACTGAGTCCCCTCCAGAAAGTGTTGACTTTAGAAAATATGAAATGTTAGGGATGTGCTTTTCAAGTGTTAACATCTCTTCCCTCCAGGTTCAGGAAAACCCCAGATGCTTCTCTGAAAGTAAAAGCCCGGAAACCAGAGGCAGGCTCAGCGTGAGGATCTTGCAGTAACTCATGGTTCCTCTGGGTCCCATCTCAGCCTTCCCCATCCTCAAACTCTTCACCGTCCACACCCACTCACCTGTGATCTTCTCAGCAGCCCAGTACTTCCCTATGGTCTCAAGCACCCAGGCTTCTTCACGGTCTACAATCAGATATGCACTTTGGAAGCTATGGCAGGAATGTGCATCTTCGTAATAATTCCCACCTTGTCCATGTTCTTCCAGCAAGGAAACGATGACATCTAAGGCTTCTTTAGCTGTTGTCCCCCTTTCTAAACCAAGCCTGAAGTAAAGAAACCAGGAGTTTACCTCAGTCTTTTCACGCCATGTGATTATTACCATAGTAATCCAAGACTGGGACAGGCTGAGCTACAAAGCATGACCGCATGTGTAAATACGGTAAATATACAGATCAATATGCAAACCAACTAGCAGCACTTGAACTCAGAGTACATCTCTCACAGGATCAGCTGACAATCATGGGGGTGGGGGCCAGCAGATGGCATAGTGGTTAAGGCACTAGACTCCCACATGGTTTGAGTCCTAGACCTGACAGCTTGAAAATTACACCGGGCATGTGTGCGTGCATGCCCAAAATCCCAGGAGAAGAATAGAGGAAAAGGGACTATGGTGTGGTCTTCCCCCTGGAGGGCAATTTCTCACCCTCTCTCTCTCTCTCTCTCTCTCCAGAGAGTACACGTGGCACAAAAGAAAAAAAGAAAAGAAAATGGTGGGGGTGTTTCCTGTCTTTGGACACAGCCTTCCACATAGAACAAAGACTAATCAGGAACCCAGGAACCCTTGAAAGGAGTTCAGCCTCTTCTCATTTCTGTCTCTCATGGAAATGACCAACTCAGCTCTAGCCCTTAGCAAGACCATGCTCCATGGCTGTGCTTCCTCCTGACGCTAACCCAGGCCCCGATCTCTGTTATTCAACTCCAGGTATTTTTATTAGTAATAAAGCCATTCAAGTGCCAGCCTTGACTGTGTACATACGATTCATTCAGAGATCTCATTAGCGATGGGCAACTGTTTGGGACATGATCAACCTTCTTTCTATGTATTTTTCCTTTTATCTATCAGCCTACATCTACTGGTATAATTTACAGCTCCAGTTACTGAAAGAATACATGTTCCCTATGAGGCGAGACATCCACCTCCCCACAGCCCTTCCAATTAACAGTCAGTCAAAGAGGGTACGGCTACCGTTCTTTCTGTGACTGCGGGCAGGTTACATAACATACTTGACCTTCAGTTTGATATTCTCTGTAAAACGAGTGCCCTCATCATTGGCGTCCTGTAAGGGGAAAGCGCATGAGCGAATGATCATGAAAAATACACAGCACAAGCACCCTGGACCAGGTAAGTGGTGGTAAGTTTCAGGGCGTGTACACAGTGGCAGAGAAATATTGAGACAGGAGTAAGACCTCTGACTGGGCAGATAGGGTGAGGAGTTCACAGAATTGGGAGTAGAAGACAAGATGGAGTCACTATAGTCAAGCCTTTAATAAAAATCATTTGCTGCTCTCACTAGAAATCAATGATTAGCTCTCACTACTGGATTACACAGAAAGTCACTTACAGCCTACCTGAGAACATGAAAGCTGAAGCTCGCACTTTCATATCACTGCTGCATTCTCATTCCAGGAGAGGAAAGGACCTCGAAAACATACTCTTCTTTCATATATTTCAAAATTTAGGGCCACTTGCTGACTAGGCTCCAAATAGACAAATTAACTATAGTCCTGAAAACACTCCTCCAACTCAAGGACAACCATCAGCCCAAAACTTGCTGACAGCACAAAACATCTGCAATGACATCTCTCAAAATAAAGTAGTTCCTTTTTGTTGTTTTTGGTTTTTGTTGTTGTCGTTGTTTGTTCATTTCTTTGTTTTCCCAGAAGTCCTTTCTCCCATCTCCTTAAACAAAAATAGTTTACATATAGTTGTTTTTCTTTTTTGTTTGTCAGGGCCTATATGACTAGACCACTCCTTCCCCTAGTGGGTGACCCATTTGGGTACCCCTTCCACTTAGCTGGAAGCTTTGACTCCTTCCTAACAAACTTTGCTTATTATCCTCTCCATTTTCCCACATTTCTAATTCTTCATGAGCAGGAGACAAAGAACCTGGTCGTCTCGGGGTCTTGAGTTCAGTACTGGGTTGGGCCGGATTGCTCCAACCACCTCCAGTATCAACATGACTCAGAAATAAAGGAACCTCCCTCCTTGTTCTGACTCTGCTCCTCACGGGTACTGCTATATTAAGTAACGCAAAATGTGCAAACCTTGATTTTTCTCATCTATACAGTGAGAGCAACACCAGCTCCCTGAGGTTGCTATGGGATACGTACTCAGCCAATGTCCCTTTATTCATCTGCTCATTCAAATTGTAATTCTGGTGGCAGGAACACAGGGGTCTTCAAACAGGGGCAATGGAGCTACTGAGACAGTGGTGTGGGCCAGCCAGTTCTCAGTGCATTTTCAATGGGAGAAGTGACCTCTGTTAAAACGCACCCAACTGGTTGCTTCCTCAAGGGGTATTTCCCTGTGCTGCCAGGGAAGGTGATAATGCCACTACAGGCTAGGAAATTATTCTTATAACAGGCTTATTTTCACAGATAATGATGTACCAATTCACTTGACGTTTCTCATTTTAAGCTTATTTAAGAAGACTTGGTCACAAGGCAGTGATTTACAAAGCTACCCTAAGACCTTAAGAGAGTGATAAAGAATAAACCCATTAGAAGACTGAATTACGGAGGCTTTTCTGTTGGTCAATATCATATCTCTGAGGTAGACGAGCAAGGTGCTGTGGGCACCCCCATGCCAGAGAGCTGTGTACAAGCAGGACCCCCTTTCTCATTTCCAAGTGTCCCTGATGACGGCCTGGTCACAATGACACACTCGTTCCCGTTTTCAGGGTCCCCACTTGCCCACACGGTGTTCTAGGAGCATGGGAGTAGCTAGCCAGCAGCAATGGCCGTGTCTGCAGAGGTCGCGTCTTTTCCTTTACAGATTGTGGTGCATTCACCTGACGTTCTGTCTGCCCCTCGCCGCCCTTCACCCTCCCACTAGCTGTGATGTCCTCCATGCACCACCTACAGCAGGACCTCAGCATTCGCCCACAGACAAGTCCTGATTCCCCTCGCCTACCCTCTGTGCCAAGACCTTTGTCCTACCTGGCCATTCCCACCTGGGCTCTCTGCCAGGGGATGCGGACAGGACTGCCTGCTCCAGTGCAGAAGGTGTTATGGTCTACTCAGCAAGAAGAGGTCATCCAGACATAGCCAAATTCACTACAGTTTATTGATTAAGCTGGTGGCATACTTATGGGAGACTATGTCTCTCAAAACCCAGCAGCCCTGAGTGCAAGGTGAGGGGTGCTTATCAAGGCAGAAATCACACTCTTTTCTGGTTGACCTGGCAATCACAAGAACAAAGATTGGGGGCTTGAGAGGGTAGGGGGTAGGGTTTACAATGTGAAGGCAAGCCAAAGCGCATCACAGAGGCAGAACAAGCAGGTAAGCCCGTTAATCAGCCCTAAGGGGATGTTCCATCCCTTCCCAAACACAATGGAATCTTAATGGTCTTCACGCTCAGGGCAAGGTCCCGTGACTTAAGGCATCTACCATAGCAAAAAGTTGATGTGCTTGATTGAGAAAGCAACTTTTTAATCATAGGGAAAGGGATATAAGAGTTCATAATGGAGGCACTCCTCCAAGATGGAGTCGCGCCTGCTTCAAAAGGCCAGAAGTATCCCGCGGTTACACACTCTCCACCTGGGGCTCAGAGGTGCAGGTGAACCCCACATCCCATCACACGCACAGGAAATGCCAGGACGCACAGGCCTATGGCACTCCAGAGCCACCAGTTGTACAACAACCAGAAACCATTTCAGAGCCACTCACAACAGTCTCGCCTCCGGCCGGGCAGATTCACGTAATCCCGAAGGGGAACAGCCCATTTCTGGCCCTAGTGTCACTACGGCTGCTACCTCGCACATAGGCAGGCCCAGGACAGAGAAAGGGGGGAATCAAATGGACCAAGGTTAGAGCTGCGCTCTGATCTCTCCCTTCAATGTGATTCAACTCTTCCCAAACCCTGTGCTTTGTTCCATTTGTCCTGGGCCTAGGAGTTACATGTTCCTAAATTTTATCCCTAGTTTTATGGGAAAATCTTTACTCAGGGCCCACGATCTCTCACAGATATGCCAAGCTCACTCTGCCCATTTCTGAAAGGAACACCTGTCACTGAGAAGTCGAGCTCCCCCTGCTTGCTGCCTGTTGTTTAGGAACTCTGTGGGCTGACCCTTCCCATAGCTACATCTCCACAGACGAAGGGATCCTGTCCCTTTGTCTCTTAAATAAGGTAAACTAAGCATAACCAGAGTTACTGTGGATATATAATCCCTGCTAATAGTCATTACCCTCCCCTTAGAAGGGTCTGCTGTTCTTACCTGTAAGATTCAGCTGCAAAGAATGTCCCACTTCCACAATCAACAAGTCTGCAAAAGCCCACGATTTCCCTCTGGAAATCAGAAGCTTCCCAGCCTTCGGCCAAAGGGCCAGTGCAGGAAGGTATGCACAAGCTGAATGTCTGTGCCCCCTCAAAATTCCTGTGTCCAAGCCTAACCCCCAGTGTAATGGCATTCAGAGGTGGGGTCTCTGGGAGCCCATTAGAGCCCTCAGGATGGGATCAGTGCCCTTAGAAAGAGACAAAAGAGCTTGTCCTTTCTATCGGCTCTTCACCAGGTGAGGACACAAGAGGGCCTTCCCCAGACACCAGATCTCTGGACCCTCAATCTTCAACTTCCCAGCCTCTGAAACTGAGAAACGAATACCTGCTGTTCATCCCACCCAGCCTCTGGTGAGTTTGCTGTAACAGCCTGAATGAGCTAAGGAGGGTGATAAGCAGATGTTAAGCACAGCATTGATGTGGGGGAAGGGCGACTGTCCACTCAGTGTCCAGAGCTTCCGGTCTCTTTGAAGACAGGACAAGCACAGTGCACTCTCACTACTATAGTGAGGAGAGGCCCCCTAAGGTTACCAGGCCCTGGTATCCCAGGCTCAGCCACCTCCCGCTCTGGGTCCTCGGACAAGTTCTTTGACCTCCTTCAGCTCCCGTTTTTCCTCATCTACCACCTGCAAGTAAACAAACCTACTACATTGGGTTGCTGTGAGGGGGAAGTGAAATAAATGCAAAATATTACAACAATGTTCAGGAAATTGCCATTCTAATTACCCGATTCTTGACTCCCACAGACATTGACAAGGCTGCCTTCCA